CCCTGCGCTGCCGTTTTCCTCCTCGACCTTCGCGGCAGAGGCGCGCTGTGAGCCTGGCACCCGCCCCGGCCAGGGCGCCCTGCTTTCCTGGGTCCGCGTGTGTCTGAGCCGTGTGCGTCTGCAGCGCACCAGCACGCCCGCCTTGCAGCAGCTTTGCCGGGGCCCTGACCCGGCTCCGGCCGCGGGAGCCCTGAGCCTCCGCCTCGCTCAGCACCGCCGCGGAGCGGAGCGCTCGGCTTCGGGACACGCGGGGCAGGAGGGGGGCTGCTCTCGCGGCAGAAGGTGGGGTGGCCGCTGGGGAGCTCACTGTCTCCTCGGGGCTCCTTGCTCGGTTTTAATTTTTTTTTTCCTTATTGATTTATCAGTTATTTATCTATTCGGTGACTAACCAACAATGTATTAGGTTTGTTTTTCATTTTACTAAAGTGCCTCGCTCATTGTGATACAGGAAAATAGAGACTCCCAACCTGAACGATGCCTGGGACGAGTTCGCGTTCTCTAAAAGCGAAGAACGAATTTTAGGAACAAAAACAACGAATTTTAGGAACAACCGCGATTAAGAGCAGAGTATCTTTATTGAGGGAAAGAAAGCTTCTGTCTGTTTTTTTTTTTTTTTTTTTTTTTTTTTTTTTCTCCGGAACCAAACTCACGACCTTGCGCTTGCCAGGCAGGCGCTTTTGCCGCTGAGCTAAACCCCCAGCCCTGAAAGCTTCTGTCTGACAGCGGGACAGAAGGGGGCCCCAGTGGGTTGCCCAAGACTGTCTTTTCTAGGGACTTCTAGAGCAAACTCACGAGGTGAGGTGGGCCCAAGGTAGGGGAAAATGGGAAATCACAAAGTGGGCATGAGGTGGGACAAAACTGTGGTCAGCCTATAAGAACTGTTCAGGTAAAACTGATTAAATTGGGATCAAATGGGGAAGCGAGTCACATAGCAAGGGGGCATGAATACAGAACAGGGGCTTTTCCTGTAAAGGGGTTAGGTCAGTGACTCTTCAAGGTAATTGATAGTTAGACTATCAGCTGGGGGTATAGCTCAGTGGCACAACTGCCTGCCTGGCAAGCACAAAGTCCTGAGTTTGATTCCCAATCCCAGAAGAAAAAAGAAACTCAATCCCTGGTGCCCATGCCTGGGAGGTATATGGATGCATTTGTTTAGTCTTTTTTCTGAAGATCTGGCCTGCAGCAAATACATCTCCATTTGCAAGGTATCTTGTCTTCCATATTGGCTCCTTTGATGGCCTGGCCCTATCTGACTGACTATAATATTTCTATCTAACTCAGCTGCCTATAACAATTGGAAGTTTTTAATTGTTTTTGTTTTTGTTTTTTTGAGATAGGGTCTCACTATGTCGTTCAGGCTAGCCTTGCACTTGTGGCAATCCTCCTGCCTCAGCCTCTGGAGTGCTGGTTACAGATGTGCACCACCAAGCCTGCCTCTAGGTCTTACTTTTAACATGGTTGAATTTTGGACTTTAATAATGAATACTTCCATGCCTTATTACAAAAAAACTCCTTTCCTGCCCCATGCCAGAAAGATGGGCACTGGGACGTTTTTTCCGCAGGCTTTAAACTTCCATCCTGGCAGTCGGATTCTGAATCTCTCTGCAGTTGGCGTGAGCCTTAGGAGCAGGTGCGTAAGGAGAGCGAGTCCAGGACACCTGGGGACATAGTGTCTCAGGTGGGGTCACTCAGGTGGCCCTGCGCACTCCTCAGGCCCTCAGGAGCTGAGAGCCACCTGTGATCAGAGGTGTGGAGGACGAGGCGGGGCCGGCACTGCTGACTGTGCCTTGGGGTCAGTGGCCCCTGAGGGGTGGGGGCAGCCCAGCTCCAGCCCATACAAGTGTCCCGCCCACGGCTGGAGGGAGCAGCACCTGACCGTCCTCTGGAGCCTCTGGAAGGAGCCAGAGAGGCTCCTCTTATGCTTGATTGTGTCAACTTGAGATGTTAGAAACTTGACCCAGTGACTCACTGGGGGGCCAGAGCCTCACTTGGTAAGCATCCTGAGCCTGCGCAAGAGGAGGGCACGGGGATGGGGTGAGTGCTGCACCTGCCCCTGGAGAGGTAGCCTGCACACAAAAATATAAGGGAGAAAAAAAGGGGCTGGGGATTTAGCTCAGCAGCACAGTACCTGCCTGGCAGGCACGAGGTGGTGAGTTCGATTCCTGGTACAGAAAAAAAAGGGGGGGGGGCTTGATCTCTCCCTGCTTTTGCTCTTGTTACTTTTGCTGTTTTCTGCCACCTTGAACTGTTGCCCTTGTGCCATGCCACCCTGCCTTGGAGCCTGCTGATTATGGACTGAAACCTAAATAAACCTTTCCTTTCCTAATTTTAGGCCATGGGTATTTTGTCTCAGCAACCAGAGAAGAGTAACCAAGACACCCCAGAAATGTCAGATGTTGAGTTAGCGCCCTTCCTTCCTTTCTGCCTGCCTGCCTTCATCCCTTTTCCTCCCCTCTTCCCTCCCTCCCTCCTGTCTTTCTTTTTTTTTTTTTTTTTTTTTCTTTTCAAATGGAGGTCTCACTATGTTCCCCAGGTCTCAGATGCCTGGACTTAAGTGGTCCTCCTGCCTCAGCCTCCCGGAGATGGACAGAAGAACCCAACAATTCCACTTTTCTTGTGCAGGCTGAAGGAGGCGTGGCTTGGCCAGTGGCTGTCATGTCCCTCCCTGTTGCTTCCCTTGGCCCTCCCTCATCCCCACCGCAGTGGAACGGGACAGCTTGCTTCATTGTCTTCCTTGCTGTTGCTTCACTGAAGACAGGCGGGGACACCTGGCACGGTCAAGACCAGGGATCGAGGGAGCTGTAGTCATTGTTAACATTCTCATCTCCACAGCTGGCCTTCCAGAAGATTCCCTGGTTTTTAACCTCAGGTCTCGCTGGATGGTTGCTATGACAGCTGAGGCTGTCCTGAAGCCCTGCACCAATCATGGACCTGTGCTTGGACCAGTCACGGGGCTGCAGCTGTGGTATAAGCAGCCCTGCACGTACATGTCTCGGGTTAGCCTAGGAGGGCTCCCTTCAGGGCGCTGACTCCTTACGCCGCAGTCCAAACATAAAGACTTGCTTTGGTGGCCCTGTAAACTGGCTTGTGATTTATTTTGCAGGTGGAGTGAGCTCCAGAAGTCCTGTAAATCTGCCTGGCATTCTTATCCTGAGCAGGGTGGACAGAGCAGTTGGTTCGGAGGAAGCAGCAATAAACCCTAAGGGCTCTTAACCCTGAAGAGCTCCAGAGGCCAGTGGCCAGCCATGAGCAGTAGTGCTGACCTACGGTGTCCAGCATAAGTTGGCACCAGATGGTGGCAACTGGCAGCAGCAGAGACCAGCACCAGTTGTGTCAACTGTTGGCATCCAGCATTATCCGGTGACCTCAGGACTCCCAGCAGCACTGCACTTTGCTGGTTTGTGATTTCCATCTGAACTGAGCATAAGAACCCGAGCCTCGGGGACTGGGGATTTAGCTCAGCGGCACAGCGCCTGCCTGGCAAGCGCGAGGTCATGAGTTTGATTCCCGGTACTGGAAAAAAAATCAAAAACCAAAAAACAAAACAAAAAAAGAACCTGATCCTGCCTGGCAGCTTCTGGAGTAGCTGGGCCGGCAAGCACTCCCCTGCACCTGGAGGGAGTGCTCTTTGCGGTGATCTTATTTTGCAGATGCAGGACAGCCTCTGTGGAAGTTATTTTTCATGAGAAGTTAGGGCTGGACGTGATCAAATCAGTTAGAGTGCCCTGGGCTCTGAGGACCTGAGACACAGCTAAAATGACTCAGTACAAAGAGATTTGTTTATTCAAGTCACAGGAAGCCCAGACAGAGAGCAACCTCCAGGTTTTCTAAGTGCAGAGGCTCAACAGTGGCACCACACACCCATCTTTCGGGGCACCAGTCCTCCACTTAGTAGGCCTCAGTCACAGGATGGCTGCCTGAGCTCCAGATATCACAGACAGGTCCAACAGTAACCAGGAAAAAGAGACATGGTGTTCTTCCTTGTGTTTGCTTTGGAAAGAAAAGAAGTCATGCCCAGAATCCCCTTGAAGGTCTCCTCAGGCCTCACTCCTAAAGCAACCCCTTAGGGTGGTTGTGCCTTTTGAGCTAAGACTTCTAGGATGAACTCTGAACCCTAACGTGGGGCCTGTTAGTAAGCTTGTGGACTGAGGCTGGTCCTTGCTGCCACTCCACGCCTGCAACAGCTGGCCTTGGAATGTTATAGAGAGCCTTTCCTGTCCTCAGCACGGCCCAGGAAGTTTGTATTTGTAATCCCATGAAAAATCACTTGAATTCTAGCGAGTCAATTCCAGTCTACCACTTCCAGTGCAACCCATGGCGAGAATAAAGACACTAAGCCGTATTTGTAGTTATGGGGAGCCAAGGGGTCCTGAGTCCAGCCATGATGATGACTGTCGGAACCAAGGCCTCGAGCCAGGGCCGAACCTGGGTTTTATTCACTCGTGAAGAAGGGAGTGGCTTGAGGTTGAGTGACTGTGAGAATGGTGGGAAGTAGGTGAGTGGGGCGAGGGAGGAGGCCTGAAATCCCCTCTGCCAAATGCAGAGAGAAGGATATGCAGAAAGACTGATCTGCACAACACCACTGAGATAGTACCTAACGTTTTGGGGTTGGTGCTTCAGCTCTGATGTGTAATGTTTGAGGCCCCAGGAAGTCATAGCCTCTACCCCAAGGCTAGATCCCAGCCGACAGCGTGGAGCCCTGGCTCACACATCCCGCCTCGTCCCAGCTCACTCGTGGGAACAGCAGCGGTCGGGGAAACATGCCTGCCTTCTCCAAAGATTACCATCAGCACCAGCTAGACCCATGTGCGTTGCTTAAGGCCGATTGAAGGGACAAGGAAAAGTCCTAGCCAGCTCTGCACACGTCAGTACATGGAAATAGGGTCAGGCTCAGCCAAAATGGAGGTAATTGCTCCTCTTTCAAGGAGTTGCTAGGTGGTCCTGCACGGAATGCTGCCGTGCAGCGTGTGGGCGGGGCATTCTCCTGTCGCCCCGGGTGACCACAGACACTGGGTGTGGAGGGAGCGAGGCCCGTCAGGAGGGGACCCGGCACATGGGGGAGCGCAGGCAAAGTTTGCGTGGCACCCACTTTGTCCCTGAGGCTGGGAGTCAACCAGAAGGGGCGCCAGAGAATGGCGAGGAGGGCAGTGCATACCAGAGCCTGCGGCTCCGGGAGCCGGGCAAGGCGACACCGGGTCCAGGGGTCCCGGAAGCAGAGCTTCCCTTGGAGGAGGTGGCTGGGGAGCGGCACCTGAAGGTCATGGCTCTGGAGGACGCTCTGGACCAGGACGTGGAGACGAACATTACCATGAGGTGTGTGACAGGGCCAAGTCCAGTATAGATGGGCAAAGTACTGGGTGGCCACAGCATAAGGAAGAAGAGGTTTATAGAGGTTTCACCCCCAGCTAGCTGGCTTCAAGGCTGAGTGGAGCATGGCTCAGGGGTCTGGGGGAGAGCTGCTCTCCGCAAGATGGACAGGAAGCAGAGGGAGAAAGGAGGAGTGGGGAGGACGATGACCCTTCCAGGTCACGCCTCCAGTGACCCCCTCTCCCACCAGACCCCACCTCCTAACAGCGAGCCGGCTACAATCGCCACCATCCAGTCACCTTTACAAGGCCCCACCTACAAGTGCGGGAGGCCCTGGGACTATCCAGAGACCATCACAGTTCTCCTCTGGGTCTGGTATACAGAAGGTGCTCCATAAATACTTGTAAGCTGGCAGGTTTTACTGCATTTGGTTATCACTGCTCTCCAGGAGGGAGAGCCAGCCATGTTCTCTTTCCTGGAGGAAGGTGTGAGGGCTTAGGCAGCTGGTGACCTGGCCGCTGCCACCGTCTCCCCCCCCTGCCCCCTGCAGCCGGCTATCCATCACCGAGCGGTACCCCGACACGTCCATAGCCAGGGGCAGGAGGCGGCGGCGACTGCAGGAGCTGGCAAAGCCCAAGACTGACTGGCAAGTGGTCAGGGACAGGTGAGCAGATGCCCTGTGTCCCTCCCTGTTCCCCTGTCCCTGCTCAAACTGTCACCCCCTACGTCACCTTGGGGCGGGGCACCAGGGGGTTGCAGGGGAGGCAGGAGGCCAGGACCCAGCGGGTGGGGACTGTAGGAGCCCTTGGGTGGCGTCCGAAGGACAGTGAGGCGCCTGCCCGGGAACAGGGGCACCCCGAGCCACAGGCCCGCTGGGGCCGTCTCCTCGCAGGCCGGGGTGCTGCTGTGAGGGCTTCGTCTGGATCTCCCCGCGCAAGAACAACTTGCACTTCTGCCTCTATTGGTGAGTTGGGCGTCAGGGGCCTCGGCAGCTCCAGGGGTGCCTTGGGATCAGGGCAGGAAGGGGAGGGCTCCTGAAGGGGCTCCCTAGCCCCAGGGGCCAGCCTGGCCTCACCTATTGTCGCGGTGCTCCCAGCTCGCAGTGTTGACGGTCTGGCCCCTTCCTTGTTTTTGTAGTATTCAGGATGGAACCCAAGGCCTTCACACTGGCCCCAGCCCTTTTTAGTTTTTATTTTGAGACAGTGTTTCCCTAAGTGTATAAGTTGCCCAGGTCAGGCTTTAGGAAATGGAGATCCTCCTGCCTCAGCCTCCTGGAGTGCTGGGATGACAGGAATGTGCCACCGCACTCACTCCCTAGCCTGGTCCCTCTTAGCTGTGCCTGTTCTTTCCAGCAGTCTCCTCCAAACATCCGCCCTGCTCCAGGCAACCCACGTTTCCCAGTGACACTGACGTCCCTCCCCAGCCTGGTCCAGCTCCCCCACGCTCTCTCTGGTCCTCCCTGTGTCTTCCCTGCTGTCTTTGTCCCAGCCTGGCTTCCCTCCAAGCGGAGGGTGAGGTCCGGCCTCTGCGTCCCCTGCTCTGAACTGCTGGCTGTGTTCCAGGCCTTCGGTATACTGGACAGAACGCTTTCTGGAGGACACCACCCTGGCTGTCACGGTGCCTGGTAGGTGAGGAGTTCCCAGGGTGGCCTCTGCCTGGCCCGGGGCCCGGTCACACCATCCGTTGGCCATTGCCCTCCTGGGGCTGGGGACACGGAAGGGACCACTGCTTCCCTCCTCCAAAGGGCCGGGTTCCCAACGGAGCTCCGGGTCTCCGAGCAGCTGGAGCCCTTGAGACGGGCATGGGCGTAGGGTGCAGGCTGAGTGTTGGGGTCAAGGCCACAGGGTGAGTGAGGCTGAGATCATAACGACTGATCACCCAGTTGCGGGCACTTTGGTTGTTTAGGGTATTCCATGGCACGCGTGTCCTCGCATGGCTTGTCAGGTGGGCGTCTCTGCGGTTTCCAGAGCGCTTCTCTCGCCCCCAGCAGCCTGCAGCGCCTGTGCTGCTAGTCTTTCTCTGCCGTGACCCGGCTGTCCGAACCTGGCCCTCCCTGCGGGCCCCTCTTTCCCCTGGCCTCCAGGCCCCGCCTTTAGGGATTTCTCCTCTCTACCTCTTGCAAGGTCCATGCTGACCCTGTCCCCCTGAGTCCTAACCTGAACCTGAACTCTAACCTTCCGGGAGCCCTGGGCCACTCTCCCCAGATGGGGAGGCAGAGGTCACCTCCCCCACGGCGTCTGGGCCCAGCTGTGTTGCTTGGGTCAGACTGAGCTCCTGCCCTGGCCAAAGCCGGAGCCATGCGGTACCGGAAGCCGGGGAGGGGTGGTGTCTCTTGTGACGCGGCCCACTCCTCCCTCTGCGCAGCCGTGTCCCGCCGTGTGGAGGAGCTGGCACGGCCCAGGAGGTTCTACCTGGAGTATTTCAACAGCTGCAGGTGAGGACGAGAACCAGGGCTCCGGCAGCAGAGAAACTTCCCCGCCCTCCCTGCCAGGTCTGCGGGCGGGTGGGGAGCAGGCCTGCGTGTCCCGGGATCCTCTTTGGATGCAGTTCCCAAGCCCCTCGTTCTTGGGTTCCCATTGTCCCAGAAACAGGTGCCAAGCGGGACCCTCACATGCACAGGGCCCCCAGGCTCCCTCGCCCCTGGCCGGGCTGGGTCTCACCTACGGCCACCCCTAGGGCCTCTCCCATCTGGTCTGTCCCTCGGGCCAGCCTGGATTACCGTGCGTCGGGTCGGCTGAGGGAGCTGGCCACCCCGAAGGTCCGCAACAACATCTGGAGCATCAACATGTCGGAGGTAGGTGAAGCTCACCATGCACGAGGGGACGGCTGCTCCTGGGGTCAGGCCAGGGACAAGAGGCCACAGGCTCGGCAGGAGACTGCTTTCCTCTCTCTTGGGCCTCAGGCCTGTGTGGCCGCCATTGTTGGCCCAGACATCTGGACTCTCCCTGGGCTGTGGCTCAGGGCCAGAGCACCGGCACCAGCCGGGCGTGGTGGTGCACCCCTGTCATCTGAGCACTTGGGAGGCTGAGGCAGGAGGATCACTGCGAGTTTGAGGCCAGCCTGAACTATATAGTGAGACCCTGTCTCAAAACCAAACAAAAACAAAACAAATCAGAGCACTGGCACCATTGCTGGGTCCCTCCTCCTCCGTGCCAGGAGATGGGGTCACAAGCTGGCTTCTTTCTCCTCCTCCTCCTTCCCTTCCTCCTTCTCCCCCTGTTCTCCTCCTCCTCTCTCTCCCTTTCCCCTCCTTTCTCCTCCTCTTCTTCTTCTTTGACAGGGACTCTCTATGTAGTTCAGGCTAGCTCTGAACTCACTATGTAGCCCAGGCTTGCCTTGAATTCTTAGTGACAGCTTCCTGACTCGGTCTCCTGAGTGCTAGGATGATACCCAGCACCCGTGCTATAGGAGAGAAGCCTTCCACAGTCAAATCCCCTCTGCCGTCCACAGAGAAATGTAAATGAAACAACAGTGTACCACTCCTTTTAACAATAACAAGAAAGAAAGAGCCGGGCATGGTGATGCACGCCTGTAATCCCAGCACTCGGGAGGCTGAGGCAGGAGGATCATTATGAGTTCGAGGCCAGCCTGGGCTACAGAGTGAGCTCAAGGCCAGCCTGAACTGCATAGCGAGACCCTGTCTCAAAAAGACAAAAAAAAGCCGGCTGTGGTGGCACACGAGGGCCTCTTTCCTCCCACCTTCTTGCCAAGGCTCAATCACGTCCAGCTTTATAAATTTTTGCAGAATTTGTAGGCATGCAGTGAGTGATACATCATTGTCTTGTTACTGGCTTGCAGGGACTCTATATACGATAGCTACGGATCCTTGCAAACTGCCTTCTTTCTCTTGGTCTCTTATCATTTTGTGCTGTTCTTGGGGTCTTTCTGTCCCAGGGCCTGTGAGGACTTGTGCGTTGCTTCACTCCCTCCCCTACGTTCCTGTTTCAGGTGTCCCAGGTGTCTAGGGCCGCCCAGACAGCTGTCCCCAGCTCACGGATCCTTCAGCTGGCCAAGCCCAGGGCCCCGGCCACCGTGTCGGCAGAGTGGGACCCCATGCCCAAACCCAAGCCCTATGCGTCCGACTACGGCCGCCTCGTCCAGCTGGCCAGTGAGTAGACACGTGGGCCGTGCTCCCGCGGTGTCCCTGTGGACGGGGGTGGGGGCTCAGGTGCCTCGGGTTTGAGACCTGCTCCTGGCGGCCGTTCGTTCTCTCCCTGCCCCTCTCCCTAAACTGCGGGCTGCTGTCAAAGGGTGCAAACAGATTGCCCCAGCTCTCCCAGGCCAGGGGGACCCCAGGAGGGAAAGCAGGGACAGAGGTGTGAACACGAGCACAGCGCCTGGCAGAGGGTCTTCTGGCAGGGACAGAGGAGGAAGCCAGGCAGGGGGCAGGAGCCACGGGTCAGGTGAGGGGCGTGGATGCTTACTGGGCCCGCCCCATGCTTGAGACAGTGAAGGTGCCTTCCTGGTTACAGAACGGTGCTGTGACCTGTGCAGGAGGGTTCGATATACAGAAAGGAAGAAAGAAAATAGCAGGAACAGCCGACTAGCAATTAGGAGGCCGAGGCAGGAGGATCACTGCAACTTTGAAGCCAGCCTGGGCTACATGGTAGTTGGCTGGTGGCAGACAGGGCTTGGTGACTTCAGTGGGGTCCCCTATTGACCCTACTTCTGGGATGGGGAGCCTTTTCTCCACAGCCCCCACAGCACATTTTTGTCTGTTCATCATTGTGTACCAAGTCCGAGAGGTCACAGTCTTGAAAAGCCACCATGTGTCCCCTGCTCTTGACGCAACTGCCACTGTGGTGATGGACTGTCGGGGTTTGCTCTTCCCTATTGCCGTCCCTCCTCCCACCTGCTGGCTTCAGCTTATGATTTTTAAAAATACTGATCTATAGCTGGGCTGTAATCCCAGCACTCGGGAGGCTGAAGCAGGAAGATCATTGCCAGTTTGAGGCCAGCCTGGGCTACAAAGTGAGCTCAAGGCCAGCCTGAACTGCATAGCGAG